TTCGATACTACTTAAGCTCGAAAAGACATCAAAACTAATATGATCTCAATGCTATATTAATAAATTTCAATGAGATCTTTAAAGTCTAATGGTAAAATACTTAATTGATTGCATAAAAAATCGATGTAAATGGTCCTAATATTCAAATATACCTAAATGGTGAATATGGTAAAAATTGAATATCTCCCTCTAGAGTAGCCAACAGCAGCTAATATTTTAACCTTGTTATATTGGCGATGAGAGCTTTCTTTTGATGTAAAAATATATAGTCTTTTCGCTCAACAACACAAACACCTTCATTGTCAGTTTAAAAATCAAAGTAATATCAGTTAGCGCTATTTACACCATAGTTGGACTTGTGTCGGCTTACAAGATATTAGCTTTCTCAATAAACCTGAACGCGTGGAGGGGAAGCGGCTTCAAGCAGCTTCACCTATGGATGAAAGAAAAAACCGGTGAAAAATATTTTTACTTATTTCTTTGACAACTTTAGTAGACTAACAGTGAGTATACGAGAAAACTATCAATTTGAATTAGCTCAATTCTGATAATATTAGAAAGATATCAATTAGAGTTGACTCAATGCATGGAATTGTAAGAAATAGGGAAGTCGAGTGAACTCAGTTCATAGAATTTAAAAAAGATAACTGATTGAAGTCAACTCAATCGATGTAATATGAAAAACGATCAATTCTTTTTAGTTCAATTCATGTAATTGGAAGAAATAACGAATTCGAGTGAACTCAAATCACGGAATTTTAAAAAGATAAGCAATTCAATTCAACTCAATCGATGTAATGTGAAGAACTATCAATTCGTGTTAGCGGAATTTGATAATACTGACGTTTACAGCTTAATAATACGATTATAGTGCAAAAACAATTTGTTTTCTATCAGATCAAATAATGTTCGAATAGATTTTTTTATTGAATTAGATATCTTTAGAACTTTTTGAGTTCATTTAAAGCTATTTTGCTCAGCAGAAGTTGTAAAATGAAGATTTAAAAAGAATTAATTATACAGATTACATGAACGGATACAATTTAAGCAGCTCGATTGTTTTGTCAGAATTCTCATCTGAATCAGCGTCAGCTAAAACTGTAAGCTGATTCGCAAGCAGTTCAACTATGTAAATTAAGTGTTTCACCGTCTATACTCAACATTGTTTTACTTCTGTCATGTTCATCTCCTTCTCTTGGATAAGTTTGTGAATAAGATGTTCTTAATGAATCAAAACATCGATTTAATATTAAATCATTTGATAAACGAACATACATGCTTAAATGAAATATATTATACACATTCAATTTTCTTTCCCTCAAGATACACACCCTCACCCTCAAGATAGTATACGGCGTTAGATGCTACAGAGATTACCTTGGAGGTAGAGGTATCAGCAAGAGTGCTTGTGTCGAGTGCTGAAAAATCGGATGCGTAGTATGAGTTCCAAATTTGCAGTTTGCGTTGTGAAGCTTATTTGCTTTTACGTAGGTCTTTCCGTTTTAAAATGATTAAATTTTTGGTTGCTTGATTTATATTTTACATTTTATTTTTCACATTAGGTAATCGTTTAGTAAACGACATAAAGAATAGCCAACAAAAAAAAGAACAAGATTAGGTACAACAATAGGCAACAATAGGCAATTTATAGGTCTCTTCAAATAGGCAGAATTATATTTTGTTGTGGCATAATCAATTCTATACAAATCAATAAGATCTGTCGACAGAACTTAATTTAAGAAAAGCTTTATCACATAAACGAATGCTAGACGTTGTAAAAGTTTTTGAAATTGTTTAATAGTTGATGTTCTACTTGACGAAGAGGCAATTGAAAAATTTCTGATATCAGTTGATAAATTCGAATAACAAAGATGGGATGTGTTTCGAAAATGTGGGGGCACTAGAAATAGAAAGATAATTTCCTTGTATTCAAAATATGGTGTATTAATATCTACTTCGGGTACGATTAAATGAGGACAAACACTCTCTGGTATTAATTTGGAAATATCGATTTGATGAATGATATTTTGTTGATTGATGTTGGTTAAATGATAAGGTGAACATCCAAAATGAATATTTGGAAATTTTGATATTACCATGTTAAGTTCAATGCTACTATAGATGAAATTGCGCCAATTGATCATATAGTCAGAATCTAAGACCTAAAACGACATTAAATTTTATTGTATCAGAGTATCAAGAGCCTTACTTTCATTAGTATATTCAAAGTATCAAGGAAGGATCCACGAGAAATAATCACTACAGGAAGATCGAATTCCTTAGCTAATTGCAATTGTTGAAAAAATACTTGTTGTTGAATTTCAGGAGATGGTCGACGAGCACTAAAAGTATATAATAGAAGACAACTTAAAAGTTAACAAAATTACCTTATATAATCCAATCCAATTTCACCAAGTCCAAGTATTCGTTTATGTGATAGAGCTTTACGTAGATTAAGTTCTGTTGACAGGTCGTACTCATTGGCAAAGAAAGGTTGAATGCCACAAACACCATAGACAACTTCATCATTTAAATAAGCAGAGTAATGGCTCCAATTCTCTAAACATATAATATTGAAAAATACAAAAGTCTCTAGTTATTCATCATTTCACAATTGTGAAAGGAAGTTCTATTTACCTGGTTTTAGATGATAGGCAGTGGAATACGACTGTATTAAATATTTGAGATGGGCACCATACGAATAGAGCTGACGATTATGGTGAATATAATCAAATATAGTTTGATTTGCCTTATTTAATCTAAAAAAAGCAATTTCATTATTTCCATTGCTTCTCATACTCCCCTCTCCCCCATAAGTTGTATAAGCAGATGGAGCTCAGATTCGGACTCCCCACATCGAATTACCCCAAATAAGTCTCTCTCCTAAAACTTAATTTCTGTTGGTTCCTAATTACATCCCTCAATCACCCCTCGTGGGGTCTCAAAGCAAAGAGAACCAAGGTTTTGTTCTCCCTCTGGTGTTTGAGAAATACAGCATACTTTTCAAACAAGATATCCATATGCGCGTAGCCATCTACAAGAAGCATTGGTTCAGCATCAGTAAATCCAACAGGAGCTACTATATTCATAACCATTCGACCTATTTCCTCTTGAATTTCGGCACGAGATAAATGTTTTCGAATAGAACCTTGACGTTCCGGTAAATAACTAAATCGAGTATAAAATGACGAAGAAGATTATAGCAAAAATTGTACACTTACCTCATAACCACTGGACAATATGCAGAATCTTCTTTAAACTTTTCTTCTTCAACAATAGGCAGACAAAAACCATCCTAAAACGCTCCCCACATCAATAAAAGATAATATGCTCCAAACACTACAATTACTAGTTGCTGTTCACGAATAGCAAGTCTAATTCCTTTGAATGAATTATATTGTTTAATACCAGCTGATGTACGTGATTCATTCCATTTAAAAAAATCCTCCTACAAAAAAAAATTTATTCTTTATCTACTTCAAAACCTAATGAAATTACTTCATTAATTTCACCATTTGCATGGATGAATATTTGATTTGTATATTCCACCGAATAATCTCCTTCTCGAAACTAAAATGTAAAACAACTTCATTTCTTTACTCATTTGACCCAAAAATCAAACTACTTTATCATCTGGGCAATTTCGTTCAATAAATGATTCATTCTCATCTTCAAGATGACATAAATGTGGATGAGCTCCACCAATTGATTGAGGTGGTGCATCCTAAAATTGAGAACAAATTTATTCATTTATCAATTTTAAGAAAAGATCGAAATACTTTATCTACTCGAGCATTTCCATCAATTACTAATTCAGGTTCATGTTGAACATGAGATAATTCACGATGACTTAAACGAATCGATTGAGGTTCTTCATCCTAAAATTGAAGAAAGTTTATTCATTTATTAATTCTGAGAAAGAATCGAATTACTTTATCAACTGGATGATTTTCACCAAAAAAAAATTCGTATGCATGTTGAACATGAGAATATCCTCGATCAGTAAAATGAATCGATTCAGGTTCTTCATCCTAAAATTGAAGAAAGTTTATTCCTTTATTAATTTAAAAAAAAAATTAAATTACTTTATCAACTGGACGATTTTCACCAACAAATAATTCATTTGTATGTTGAACATGAGAATATTCTCGATGAGTTAAACTAATTGATTCAGCAAGTGCATCCTAAAATTGAAATGAAGTTTATTAATTCTTGATTTTAAGAAAAAATCAAATTACTTTATCAACTGGACGATTTTCACCAACAAATAATTCATTTGTATGTTGAACATGAGAATATTCTCGATGAGTTAAACTAATTGATTCAGCAAGTGCATCCTAAAATTGAAATGA